TTACATTTCATTAATTAACTATTTAAAAAATTATTTAAATGTATTCATTTTAATTTATTTTATTTACATGTATTTAATTTATTTGCATTTAATAAATAAATATATGTATTTTTATTTTTTTATTCAAATTAATTTTAGTTATTTACATTTTAATAATAATTCATTTATTTTATTTATTTTAATTTCTTTATTTATGTTTATTGTTTTTTATTTTAATTTATTTTATGCATTCACATTTTATTAATAATAAATTTATTGTATTTGTTTGTTTATTCATTCGTGATAAAATGACCATAAAAACGTTTAAAATATTGTTTACATAGTTGAAATCTTTAAACAAATGCTGTTTCTTTCAGCTAAAAAAATAAATCAAAACTGTACCGTATTAATTTGGAGATATATTTTCTTTTTTAACAGCAGTATTACTTGCATTTTGAATTTTGAACTGAAAAAATAATTTCCAATGTATTTTAACAGTATTTATTTTGTATTTCATTGGTAGTTACTGTCAAAGCATCATTTTAGACAAGTGGTTCAGCTAAAATGTGAGCTGCAATAAGAAATGTGGGACGACAAATCAAAGCTTTTTGGAAAATTTATATTCATGAAATAAATACAAGTCTACGTGCTACTTCGATGTTCTATCTGAATAGAAAATACATTAAAATGACAATAAAATACGGAAGGTTAAAATAATTATTTATATATATATATTTGATATATATATCAAATATATTCTTCGAATGAATATGGTGCTTTATGTACTAATTTCACTTATTTAAATGTTAAACTTTATCATTCTAAACAATATTTTTAATTTTTGGTCTTTTTAAATCATGTATAGTTTGAGCACTGATAAAAAAAACTGTAAAAAAATCTTTCAATTATTTAAATAAATTTAAATAAATAAATAATACATAAAATAAAAAGAGAAATAAAAGTAAATTAATTCATTAAATAAATAATTAAAAGAAATAAATACATATAAATAATTATTTTAAAATAAATAAATAAAACAAATGCCTTAAAAATAATGAATAAAAACAAATAAAACAAAAATAAACAAATAAATCATAAAAATTGAAAAACAGATCAATCAATAAACACACATACACGCGCACGAACAAACATTACATCGACACTGACACCTACCGCAATCATCCAAATCATAGCATCCACACAGAAATTAGCAAACAACTCCTTACACAACCTTCACGTTTATTTGATACCTAAACAGACCTTTTTATCAGTGACTGTAATAAAAGCAGGCAGTATTTGACACTCAATTGGAAGATTTCCTTATTTTGACGACTCAACTCATTCATGTCTCTTTAGTTTAGTTTAACTGTCTTCATCAGAGAGAACGCAGCTCTCGAGACACTAAAAGCATTTTCAGAAGTGACAGTGCAAGATTAACAGAGGGACGATAACACTGAAAGCAGAAACTCTCAACACGACCTGCATGTGTGAGGTCATGACCAGCAGACAGAGGTCAGAGGTCATGACACTTGAGCCAAAAAAAAGACAACACGCACAAAGATAACACAAGCACTGCAGCCTCACTGACTGTACACTAATAAAAATAAAGCTCAACAATGAGATTCAAAACAATAACTTTGCCTGAAGCAGGAGTTCAATAAGCTGATCTAAACTGCCATTTAAATCTCCAGAAGTATTAAGTGCAAATTAAGACTGTTAAATGGTATACAATCAAACCAATATAATTATTCAGACAACATTTTGCTCTAGCTACAAAGTGGCTATATTTATATTTCAGAAGACAGAATTTTTCGCCCCCGTTTATATTTTTCCCCATTTTCTGTTTGCGGAGAGCAGATTTTTTCAACACATTTCCAAACATAATACTTTTAATAACTGATTTATTTTATCTTTGCCATGATGACAGTAAATAATTTTTGACTAGATATTTTTCAAGACACTTCTATACAGCACGACATTAAAGTGACAATAAGGCTTAAATAGGTTAACTAGGTTAACTAGGCAGGTTAGGGTAATTAGGCAAGTTATTGTATAACGATGGTTTGTTCTGTAGAATATTGAAAAAAATATAGCTTAATGGGGCTTTTGTTCTTGCCAAAATAAAACAAATAAGACTTTCTCCAGAAGAAAATAATATTATCAGACATACTGTGAAAAATTCCTTGCTCTGTTAAACATCATTAGAGAAATATTTAAAAAAGAAGGTGGGAGGCATATATTTATATATATATATATATATACACACACACACACA